GTGGGGGGGGGGGGGGGGGGGGGGGGAGTGTAGTAGCCATCGCGCGCGCATACTGCTGATAAACCCCCGCGCATAATTTGAATCAGTCTCGAATCAAAATCTTAACTCTAATCCTCCTCGAGGAATTGCTCTCAGTTGTCTGTAGTGTGTACGTGGTCTAACAAATTTCTGCAATGTCACATTATAGAAGAAAAATAATTACGAGTTAATAGCATCCCATTTTCAGTTCTCACTTTCCTAAATTTTCCCTGTACCTTTGATTGCTTCTGTTTATCATACTTACGGTCTACATTCCATCATAGGAAACAAAGTATGGCGACGATGGAATGTAACAGTGATAATGTTAGGCTTCAAATTTGGGTCCATAAAACAATATTCATCATTATGAGAAGTCTTTATTTTTACATGTGATTCAGATCACATCTTCCACATGTTAAACAAATCCAAATACACAGTCTAATTGTCATCGATGAGCTACCATTTTATGTATCTTCAATGTGTATCATTTGTAATTATGAATGTATCTTCAATTCTCCTTAACCTTGACATTGGCGCTGAGAACAAAATATAGAAATATTAACATTAGTATTCGTAACACATGAATTATAATACAGGACTCCCAAAATTCTCATTAGACCTGGAAAGGCGTGATTCTAGATATCATTTGTAGAAACTTTCTCCATCACGATACGTATCAACATCGCAGCACGCGTACAGCGGACGCGGTTATACGCCAACACTGTGTTGAGCTCACTATCACAGTCGAATTCAACCACTATAGTTGCTATTTAATTAGTTCCTATGTTTCATTAATAACTCGCTAAAGAAGTCACGGTCAACATTGTCGCTTGGGAAAAACTGACTTCAAATCACCTTAGACATCACTCCTTTCTCACAGAGGAAGTTCAGAGCGTAACGAGAATTCTGGGACAGCCTGTGTATTAAATAATTTAATATAATTTTACCCGACATCGTCGACCTACAGGTGCTTCACAATTGCACACTAATGCCTAGAAAGAGCCGTAGCATTATTATTGATATATTTGGATTAGCAATAACATTTGATCCACTTACCTCTGTCGTTGCAATCCAGAAAAATCCTAAGATTAAAAGGACAGTAGTAAGCACGGAAGCGGAACGAACTACTTTGAACATGTTTCCCAATAGACGATTCAACGTTTCGTTTAACATGCACGAATGTTTTTCCGACGTTGTTTATATATTCACTCCACTAACATTATGATATATTTAATGACACTGCCACTCACGGTGTACACGATTTTAGAAACACATGTAAGTTTAAAGATAATTTTTATAGTGCCATTAAAATTTATATGCGATACTTTATACTATTGTTAGAATTTTCTGATAGTTTTCATAGAATGCTATACGACAAAAGGAATTCTACATTCGGATATATTATCTTTACTTTATTTTACACGTAACATATGGTACGTGCGACATGTGCAAAACAAAAACAATATTTTTAAAACTATTTAGAAACGGTACGTTCTGTAAATAACATTCGAGAATGAGAGAGTATTATAATACGATTTTCTTAATTATTCTTGTTCGTCGTAAAGGTTTTAAGAAGACATTACGAATCATGTCAACGCAGATAGTGTTGCTAACAGAGCAAACTTCGAATCCGTCATGTGGAACGATCGGCTTTTTTCAGAGTTACACAAATTAATCGAGGAAAATTCGATCGTAATTATTATTGGATAAGTAATCAGCATTTAGTGAGAGTGTAATACAAGTGGACGGTGGAATAATCTACCTGGAGATATCCTTCTGTTTGTCTCCGTTGCATACAGATCAGTTGTGGAGTTCATCATACATTGTACGAGGTCAGTGCAGTATCCTCATCACACGTATGAAATGGATTTTGAACTAAATGATTGAATTTCGTATTAACTAAAAAAAACAAGTCCTTCAAATCCTTTAATTTGTTATCAATAACATTGCTTTGTTATTTATTATTTAAATTGTAATATCATTTACGTACGTCTACAGGATTACTTATTGTTAATCTTCAGTGTACACATCACATAAAAATTTCATATGGCACATATGAGAGAAAATTGAAACAGTTGTTATGACTACTGATTATTTCGGATCCGAAAAAGTAGTCAACATTCTTCAGATATTCCGAAATAAGGATGAACACTGCTTTTTTAAAAATTATCACTGTATCGTAGTAAATAAAATACGTATAGTTTCACGTAGATCGGCTTGTTCATGTTCGAGCGTGGGAACAAGCTTAAACTGTTTACCTCCTCGGCATCAAGCCCCACAGTTGCTGGCCTCGGCCGCTCGCGCCAGCTGATCTCACCTCACGTTGATCAGTGATATTCATCAATAACTCGTAAACAAAGCCGCGAATAGTGTTTGCGTCAAAGAAAAAGTTATATCCAATGACGTCAGGAATCACCCCTTTCAGGGAATTAATAGAAATGAAATGCTTGTGTGTGTGTGTGTGTGTGTGTGTGTGTGTGTGTGTGTGTGTGTGTGTCGATTTGATCGCTCAGGATCACTTGTTCAGAATAATGGAATGATGGTGTTCATTGTGTCAATGTGCTCACTCAGTACTCGCGTAGATGTGCTCAGGATCATTCACAATCACTCACAATCGCTTAAGATGAATGAGTGAATGGAGTCGCATCGGCACTGATCGGCACATGATCTACCAGGTGGGACTGCGTATGAACAGCCATATTGTACTCAACCTTACTCATTGTCGGGACTTAGCCACTATTGGCCTGCTTAATCACGTGAAAGGAGAATTTGGCAGGACCGTTTGACGGATGACCATTGGCCTGATACCGATTCCGATTTCCTCATAACTGCAGTTGCTCACGGCGTCCGGGGCGGTCCCCGACATCCTTCTCGGTAGTAATAAGATGCGTTCTGTTTAATCTCAACGGCCGCTAGGTGTCGCATAATGTAGACGCGTTGTCACGTCGCTCCGCATTTCTAGGGCAATCCCAATGGTTTTTTCTATAGTAATAAATAAATAAAGTAGTTCAATGTGTTGCTGAAGTGAAATTGAACATTTCTACGTAAAAGGTTTGGTGATATTCTAAAGACTTTAGAATTTATCACAAAAAATTTGATCGCGTCGGTCGATGGTGTTCTCGGCGTGACCCGTCAAATTTCATCTGGCGATAAAATTCGCTAGAGCTTAGCAAAAATATTGCCTTCATTTGTGGGTGTTATAGTACGTAGATAGGCGTAGATATAGTCTTGTTGTGTTTTCGAGTGTGCATTTGTCCAGAAATTCGGATTTAATAAACCCGACGCCACGCAGCCGCCATCTTTAAAGCTGTACTGGACGCTATCTTTCCGTCATCTTATCTTACCTGCGATCGCTGTACGCAAACAAGCTATCAAAAATCAGACCCCCAGCAGCAGTTCTAGCACACGATGTTATCGAACGTACGATAGAAATCATCCACGAGGACACCACCGACACCGAAGGCTTCATTCAGGTGAGAAGGAAATGTAGAATGTCGGTCAGATGACGATTTTGGGATTACTCTTGAACTCGCGATCCCCCAGAAACCTACCAAATCAATGAGTTACATTAAAAAATAAACATGAGCCACCTTAGCTTCTTAATGGACCGTGATAACCCTGAGTTGACTAAGTTCATTGCCAATAATGTTGCAAAGCTCCAGAACATCCTCGCCGAGTCCCTTCTCTGTTGCAGCAACCCAGATGGACAAATTAAGGCCATCCGTTCTGAAAATAAGCAGCAACGCAGAACACTCGAAACGGTGACTGAAAAGTGCCAGTCTCCGAAGGAACCCTCCCAACCCACCACATACGCTGAGAGGGTCGGAGTAAAATCCAAGATCGCCGTACTTTCTAACTTGAAGCAGGACTTCCCTAGTGCAATCATAATCCTCCCACAGGATCCCAAAGTCTTCGAGTCTAGTGATAAGACAAAAGAGGCGGTTCTCAAATTGGTATCGAAATCAGAGAGCAAACTAAAAATAATAAATGTCAGGAGAATCCAAGGCAACGGCATCTTTGTAGAATCTACCAAGAAAACAGATTCATCACCTCTGCAAGGCAACCGTAGCTAAAAGCGGCTGGCCTGATAGTAGGCGCACACCTTAAGAGAAACCCGAGAATCATCTTATACGCTATTCCGAAATTTGGAAACCACGAAGCCACCCTCTGCGCGGTAATAAGTCAAAATCTTGATGCCCCCCGATAAGAGCAACCTGCAGATTAAACTTGCTTTCAAATCCGGCGACAGAAACAAAAGACAAATTCAATTGGATACTTGAGGTATCCAAGTAAGTCCAAGATCTATTCATTGAAAAGGAACGCGTTTACGTCGGCTGAAGTTGCTGCCGCGTTAACGACTTCGCAGAAGCCACCCGCTGTTACAAATGCCACAGCTTTGGTCACAAGATCAAGTACTGCTTTGTCAAAAAGGACATTTGTGGTTACTGCGCTGAACAAGGCCGCACATTTAAAACCAGTCCAATTAAGGCCCAACCGTCTCATTGTCACAACTGCAAAAAGTTCGGCAAACCCGCCACTCACCCAATTACCGATAGGGAGTGCCCAGTTTATATAGCGACCATTAATCAGATGGCCGATTATGGTGTAACACCCAAAGTGTAACACCCCAAGCCAAACACCCCCAAATACAGGCCCACCATTAAGATGGCACAAATAAATGCACAGAACTCCAAATCGACTCTAGAGGAACTCAAAGTTTACGCCTCCGAGGAAAAGTCGACATCCTCGCAATCCAAAGACTCTACTCGTTTCGCAATGCCCTCAGCAGTTTTGGCCGCAATTCTAGAATCGTAACCAATAGAAAGAAATTCTACAACCTTCCTGGCCCGGAAAGCGTCACAGCAGCGATAATAATTAGGAATCCATCACTAACCATTCTCAGATTTAAAAACCTATGCAATACCCACTGCATCTGCATTGAGGTCACAGCCAAAAATTTGAGATTAATAATTGTTAACATGTATCTTCAGTGCAGCGACAAAATATAGTCCTATCTCCACCACCTCTTGACCATATTCCACACAATAGGCAATCAAAATCTCATCGATGGTTGTACCAAATGATGGAGGATTTCATTATCTAGTCTCAACTGCACAGTATTAACAAACATTCAGAACTACCAACCTTCAATAACGCCCATAACCAGTCAAACTTCGATATAACCCTTTCCTCGAACAGCTCCTACAATCTAATCACATCCAGAAGTACACGCAGATAGCACATCCAGCGACCACAACCTCATTACCTCTAACATTAATACTCCTCAACACACACCATGAACAAATCGCACTCCTGTTACAATACGAAGAGAGCAAACTGGGAAAAATCTCTCGGAGGATCCGCACTTAGTCGACCTCGAAACCCTTAGCAAAAACATTCAAGAAATAATTCTAGCAGAGAGTTCTCTGCGATCCCAAAGGAAGTTAGATTCCCGCGATTCGTCTTGAGGTGGACTCCGCAACTCACCACCCTCAGAACTGAGGTCCGCCACTCCAAAAAGATGTACCAAGCGGAATATAATGCCATCTGCAAAGAAATCTTAAAACTTTAGTTTCCGCCATCATCCACAAATCTAAGCTCCTAAGTTGGAGGAAATTTATCTCAAATCAAGGCTATACAAACCTATGAGGTATCCCCTATAAATCAATATTTAAAAAAATCCGCGCAGAAGAAGTTCCCGAAAGCATCTCAACCGTAAATAAACAAACCACTTCCTGGCAAGAAACGAGTAGGACTTTCTTCCATTTCCTAATCCCCGATGACACTTCCGACGCAGACACCACCCTGTACAAAGAAACTCGGTTCAACTCCAAAATCATCCCAGACATTCCAAACGTCCCTGGCCTGATGGAGGTTATCATTCTGAAACAGACATGACATCTCCTCGATCGAGACATCATCCCCCTCTTCAATAGCTGACTCGCCCGCGGTAAATTTCCAAACATTTGAAAAATAATAGTCGTTCAAATCCTCCTGGAGAGCGAGGAGAAACCCAGAACAGATCCCAAATCCTACGGACCTATCTGTCCCCTACCGGTCATAAGCAAAACTTTCGAAAGGCTTGTCGTCAACAGACTTTTAGACATTTTCAACAGGAACCCCTTAGCTTCTAAATCCCAGTACGGCTTCAAAACCGGGCTCTCCATTGAACACGCAATCCTCTAGCTGCGTGATTCAACTCAGAGCAAGACCGACGAATACGCTATTGCCCTCCTCTTCGACATAAGCAGCGCCTTCGATAATATCTGGTGGGCCGCTATCGTTCAGCAATGATAATAAAAACCAGATAATACCCTAGCAACCTCTATAGGGTTATATAAGTCTACCTGTCCAATTCCACCTATGGAATAGGTGGGGCATTAGGTGTACCTTGGAATACATTTTGCCCCCTGCATCGTTAAGACCCATTGGGGGGGGGGGGAATAATGTATTTTAGCGGGGAATGAAAGTGAATCAAAATGTTTTGTCTTTAGTTATAGTGTTTATTCCTGTTTATGAACGTGCGCGGACGCGGCTAGCGTAGTGTGGAGATGTACAGAGTTTTTGGAACTGACCGGACCGACTGGGATTCGACTTGAGTGACTCAATTAACTGCTTTTGCGGAGTTACCTTTTGCCTTTTTTATAGTGTTTGCGAGGATAGTCATAAGAATGGAAAAGATGAAATTCTCTTGGAAGGGGAAGAAAGGAAAGGTCTGTGCGAGTCGAGATGTGCAAAGATTCGGATAATTGCTTTATTGGGAGTGTTTTTAAGGGAGTTTTTGAGGATTAGCGAAGGACAGGAGTTCTGATGCACATTTGGTGTTTATTAGGGCTGTCGTAAAGGAAAAATTTACGAGAGACGATTAGGAAGGGAAATGTTTGATTGCTAGCGGCCGCGCTCAGGTAGCGGGTGAGCAGTGGCGAGCGATGCGACGCCACAGTATAAAGGTCTGTAGGTCCCAATTATTACATATGCAGCTGTCAGTTGGACCGATAGACTAAACAAGTGGCACATTAAGAAACTCAAGCAGTCTCAGAGACACGCCCTTATCAGCACCACTCGTGCCTACTGCGCCACATCTAACGATGCTCTAACTGTTATAGCCGGAGCCATCCCCATAGATCTTTTATTAAAAGAACGTAAAACAAATTTCCATCTCAGGATTGGAGACTCTTCACCATAGGAGACCTTCAATCCACACCACACCAAACAGATATATCTCCCAAAGAAATTGCAGAAAGATAAAAAATAATCAGGAATTAAACACTAACCATCTGGCAAAAGGAGTGAGGTGATTCTGTCACTGGCGGGATCACCCACGACTTCTTCAGCAGCACACTTACCAGAATCGAGAACAAAACCATTAAACTAAACTTCTACCTCACCCAACTCCTGGCAGCTCACTGACGTATCAAGCAAAAATTACATGCCCTTAAAATCTCAGCCGACGATGTGTGTTCCTGTGGATCCACAGATACTGCCCGACATATCATCTTTGACTGCCCGTTCATCTTGGACCAAAGAACAGAACTCGTACAAAAATTACGAGCTAAGAAAACTGGCCATGCCATCTCAGTGAGCTAGTTAGAAAAGACAACTTTCCGCATTTTGCCAGCTTCGCGGAAAAAGTAATGAAGTTCAAAGATGACTTTCTCATTAATCCAAGACCCCCATCCCACCAACCCAACTACCTTGGGACCTAGCACCAGCAGTGGCTGACAGCCGCCGTGACCCCCACCCCAATCCTCAAATTGCACGCAGTCAACCTCGAGAAGAAGACCCTAAATAAAAATTTTTCTGGCAAAAGAGCCAAACAACTCAAACCCCCCTCCGCAGAATTAGGCAATACCACCACCCACCACCCACTACTGGATGCGCAGGCACCGTTCGTCTTCAAGCGACGGTGACTCCAGAGGGGGCTACGGTGACGGTCCTCATGAGCCGTCCCTAGCGAGTCATGACGACGCTCACCGTAAAGCAACCTGTTGAATAAAAAGCCTGTAAGAGATCGAACGGTATGCTGGTAACGGCGCGGCTCCTCAGAGCTGCAAGTGAGTTACCTCCCCTGCGGGACGATCTTCCTTCCTGATGAAACGTTGATGGTGAGGGAATGGTTTTTCCAAGCACATCGGGGGTGTACTTCCAAATGACCCCCGTTGCCGATCGACGTGAAATTTGGAGATTTAACGGAGTATAGGGAGCAGACTCTATATATGAAGTTTTAACTTTGGCAATTGATGCGTTCGGAAGATAGAGAATTTACTAGTGTCAGCGGGTCGTACCGCCGATATGAACGTAGGTTCTCTGCTTTCTCCAGCTACGGTATGCAAGTGACGGTGCGGTAGCAGTGGGGCACGGAGAGGTAGTTATAGGCGGAATGGGAGTGACTCTCACTCGCACTCTCAAGCGCCTCTCCTTGCTTCCTTACACCGCGTCAGTACTTTTAGCGATTTCCCTGACACCCCTGGCCGAAATTGCTCGATGGGGTTCGATCGGTCGACTTGTTGAAATTTTCGACGCTTAACGCAACGAACGCATTGATTTTACTAAAGAGTTTCTACTATTTTGTATTGAATTACTTTAATGATTACATTTAGAATAGTTAGGTTATGTCTAGATTAGGAATTAATAAGATAATTTTTGGTTAATATCTCAAAAATTAATAAGAACTAATAAAAACCCGAAGTTTTTTTAAAATTTTATATTTGGCGTTTTTATATATATAACCCCCCCCCCCTCTTCCCTCAAAAGCTGGTACTGATCGGTCAGAGGGGCCATTCGGAAGAATTTCCTACGTCGGTTGCAGTTTCCGGATGCAGCCCTATCCTTCGCAGTAGCTCACCGCTGACTTAACATCGATCGGCATAAGCAAATATTGCTTTGTCCAGTCAGAGCTGGCCATGGCTCGTCACGCTCGCTTGTGTGTAGACATTATATGTTTAATCTCAACAATGTACTTTTTATTTGCTTTTGCACGCGCGTTTGCGCGTGGGAGATCTATACTAGAGTGGCTAAATTTATATTAGGAACTTTCAACTTAGAAACTAGATTGCAGATGACACATATGCAGCTTGCACAGACGTATGCCACACCCGTTTACATCGGAGAAGTGATGTCGCAATTTTGCAACAACGTAACATATTCTCATAGGGAGTAGATACAATTATCACCAATACTGATAGAAACTGTTTCTGTCACTAGAAGATTTTAGAAATGTAGTTTCTATGTTGCATATTTTGCATATTCCATTCGATATTGAAAAATGAAGTAAAGATAAGATATCCGACTCATATATTTACTACGCGTTGAAAATGTTAGTTGATGGTCACAAATCGTACTGGCTGCTATCTACATTGTTTAAAACCTGCAGAACATTTTTATCCAGTCGTGAAATACTTTCGTAGCTTATGCGATAGAATTTGGAGCCGTGGACATAAGTTCGTATTCCACCCAGAAAAACATTTCAAATGTAAGAAAATAATTGATTGACAACAGGATGTGTATTTATCGGCTGGGCTGCCGAAGGTGAACTTTTTTCGCATCGCTACATCTCCTTGGCCGACTACTTGCAGTATCGTAAAGAGTCGGAAATCATTCACCCAGGCTTTTTTCATTATCCTTTCCGAAATTTCCTAACTGCTCTGTTTACTTTCGCCGAATTTCGTGACGTTTTTCCTGTAACTTGACGGTTCCGGTTCTAGCTTTTGGTTTCCCCGTGCATGTTAGTAACCTTGACATAACGCGGGAAAATAACTCCCCTTTGCATCTTCCTTTACACGCTAGGGCTTTGTTGCAACACTGTGTCATTGTACAATCGTATGCTTCCAGTCTACGAGGTTCTGGCATTTTTTGCAGTGGCGTAATAGTTACTCGATGCTACGTCTCGCCATGTTCCCACGTCTTTTCCTTTTCCCCTTACAATATGCATACAATTATAATAAATTCGTATTTACAATCACAACGCAGTTGCCATAGACTATTCTTAACGAACATTATTCCCAAGATAAATCCTGTCAAATTAAAAGATTTTAATTTTACGTCTTCAGGCAGAAAGGAGAAGAAAAAGAAATAAAAAAGAAATAGATGAATACGAAAACTTAAATCTAATTTTGTACTTCGTTTTCATTTCGCAGTTGTATCAATTTTCTCACTGGTCGCACGAACTCACCCGTCGAGAGGTGCTCACCTTCGCTATCATGGCCATTTCGTCGGTGCCAGGATACACCTCACTAATTGTTCCTGACCTCCATAGGTTTCGCGACGCTTAGAGGTCGACTATTAATACATGATCTCCCTTTTTTAGCGACACTGCTGAATTATAAAATTTTGTTCGGGTAATTGGTCCTGGCAAATATCCTCACAACCATCGCCTTCAGTATGCATTCGCAAAACGTTGCGCAATTCGCCATTGTCTTTTCAGACACGCGGTAGCGCAAATGCATTCTTCCGCAAATACATCCGATTGAAGTACGTGAAACCAATATTGTTCAGCGTCTTCGATTGTTTGCTGTTATTTACCTTGCGGTGATTCCTTTCAATCGATTGAACGCGGTTCTTAATCGTCCAGCATTTACTGGACGATTATTTTCTTTATTAGTTTACAAATCTAACCAACATAAAATTTTTGCGATCGTAGGAATATAATAATTTGTTTCACACACGATGTAGATCCTTGCATAATTCCATACTGCCAATGTTTACTCTATCCTCTCTGCTAGTAACACTTTCGACAGGCAAATCTTCCTCGGAGTTTCGCAAGAAGTTTGACCCGAAAAACCATCGATTGATAGCATCTAGCGATGCCATTGACCAACAAGTTGTGTCGTCAGCGGGCTTCAATTCAGACGGAACTCATCCCCACTCAGAGATCAACTCGCCCACAATAAGTTTTCAAAATCATCAAAACAATTAATTCACCCAAACAAACATCCAGAAAATATTGATTCAAACAAATTAATCCCCTGAAAAAGCATTCAAATGTTATTAATAAAGCCTTCAAAACATTTCCATGGTAACCCTATCGCCCACAAAAAATGGTTCTAAATACAAAAACTGAAATATTAATCCACGAAAAAAAACTTCGGAAGGATATAACAGAAATAATATTTATTACCATTTAATTTGTTTTGAAGAAAGTATCGACATACAAAATAAGGTAGGAGAGCACATTAAGAATTTATATCAATTTATATGATTATTTAATTACTTTACGTTTAACACTTTGCACTCCGCTGTCCCCTCTCGTGGGACATTAGAGTTTATTAGTGATTACGGGGAATTGAGTTATTTTAGCCCAACTTTTTGAGACATGCATGTTTTTCTGAAGTTTGCCCTTGAAATGGCACAAGAAATCAAATCAAAATACAGTAAAATTACTAAGATATATACAAGAAATGTCAGCAGGTTTTGACGAGAACGTGAGAGGCGTGCTCACGACGGTCCGAGCATTTCAAGGACGCCACTTGAAAAGAGCGATAAGGCAAGTCCGAAGAAGAAAGATCGGTATGCGAACATAGCACGCACTGTATAGTGAGATTTATAATCATAAAATCTGGAGGAAAAGATTTTCAAATCTGAACTCAGTCTGGTTTGAAGCGTCGAGCGGTATAGATAGATCTAACGAGTGAGAAAATCGGAAAAGTGATTCTCCTCTTGATAAATAAATTGTTTGGTAAAAGTTTGTTTGGTAAATATCATCTTGTGACTTAGTAATAACAATTATAAATTTTCAACCTATGTATTTATTCATATTTTTTATTAGAACAATGGCAAAACGTTCAAACACGAATGAGTCTCATGACACAAGTAGTAGTGAAGATGAGCTGCAGACAGACGTTTATACAGATATGTTAGAAATGTTACTATAGATATGTAGAAGGTTTTCTTCTACAGTTAGTCTATCGTTTTGATAGCAGTGATAGTGATATCGTCCAAGCAACAAGGCGACGAGAGAAAGAGTTCGCATAGATAGCGATTACAACAACAAAATAAAATTATAAAACAAACAATAACAAAATTATAAAAAATAAAATATTGATTTTTTTGCAAATTTCTCGGTTTCAGCCAAATAAATAATAAGTCCAATATCATTATAATATGTTAGTTAGTTTCAAACTATACTAAATAATACGAGGGTCTGTAAATTCCCCTTTCTGCCGAAAAGTGGCGCCGAGTAGCTGCTAGCCAACGTTCAGAATGGTGCGGAGTGCTAAGGGTTAATATCTAACTTGCAATAGGGTAACAAAGTGATTAATGAATGATTATAGTACGAAAATAGTAAAATACGCATCTCTCACGGTTTCTGGCCATTTGTTTATTAGTTCCAGCCACGTTTAGTACCATTTCTAGCCTCTCAAAAATCTAATGTTATATGTATCATTAATTTGTACTAAGAAAAGATGTAGATGATTAAAATGCAGCATAATTCTTTAAAAAAATTCTATATTTTAATTTGGGGTAACAACATATAACGATAACAAAAAAGTAGTTTCATTTTACTTATTTAAAAAAAACTTGACGTATTTTTTTACTACGATGCAGTGATAATTTTAAGAAAAACGCTGTTCGTCCTTATTTCAGAATGTCTGAAGAATATTGACTAATCTTTCGGATCCGAAATAATAAACAGTTTAACTATAACAACCGTTTCAATTTTCTGGTGTGCATGACGTCTCATATATGCATATGAAATTTGTATGCGGTGTGTGTAGTGAAGATCAACAATAAGTAACCCCGTAGAAGTACGTAAATGATATTATAATTTAAATAATAAATAACAAAGCAATGTTATTGATAACAAATTAAAGGATTTGAAGGACTTCCGTCATTCCATTATTCTGAACAAGTGATCCTGAGCGAGCAGATCGACACACACACACACACACACACACACAAGCATTTCATTTCTATTAATTCCCTGAAAGGGGTGATTCCTGACGTCATTGGATATAACTTTTTCTTTGACGCAAACACTATTCGCGGCTTTGTTTACGAGTTATTGATGAATATCACTGATCAACGTGAGGTGAGATCAGCTGGCGCGAGCGGCCGAGGCCAGCAACTGTGGGGCTTGATGCCGAGGAGGCGAACAGTTTAAGCTTGTTCCCACGCTCGAACATGAACAAGCCGATCTACGTGAAACTATACGTATTTTATTTACTACGATACAGTGATAATTTTTAAAAAAGCAGTGTTCATCCTTATTTCGGAATGTTTGAAGAATGTTGACTAATTTTTCGGATCCGAAGTAATCAGTAGTCATAACAACTGTTTCAATTTTCTCTCATATGTGCCATATGAAATTTTTATGTGATGTGTACACTGAAGATTAACAATAAGTAATCCTGTAGACGTACGTAAATGATATTATAATTTAAATAATAAATAACAAAGCAATGTTATTGATAACAAATTAAAGGATTTGAAGGACTTGTTTTTTTTAGTTAATACGAAATTCAATCATTTAGTTCAAAATCCATTTCATACGTGTGATGAGGATACTGCACTGACCTCGTACAATGTATGATGAACTCCACAACTGATCTGTATGCAACGGAGACAAACAGAAGGATATCTCCAGGTAGATTATTCCACCGTCCACTTGTATTACACTCTCACTAAATGCTGATTACTTATCCAATAATAATTACGATCGAATTTTCCTCGATTAATTTGTGTAACTCTGAAAAAAGCCGATCGTTCCACATGACGGATTCGAAGTTTGCTCTGTTAGCAACACTATCTGCGTTGACATGATTCGTAATGTCTTCTTAAAACCTTTACGACGAACAAGAATAATTAAGAAAATCGTATTATAATACTCTCTCATTCTCGAATGTTATTTACAGAATGTACCGTTTCTAAATAGTTTTAAAAATATTATTTTTGTTTTGCACATGTCGCACGTACCATATGTTGCGTGTAAAATAGTATAGTATAATAATAGTATAATGCGTGTAAGATAATATATCCGAATGTAGAATTCCTTTTGTCGTATAGCATTCTATGAAAACTATCAGAAAATTCTAACAATAGTATAAAGTATCGCATATAAATTTTAATGGCACTATAAAAATTATCTTTAAACTTACACGTGTTTCTAAAATCGTGTACACCGTGAGTGGCAGTGTCATTAAATATATCATAATGTTAGTGGAGTGAATATATAAACAACGTCGGAAAAACATTCGTGCATGTTAAACGAAACGTTGAATCGTCTATTGGGAAACATGTTCAAAGTAGTTCGTTCCGCTTCCGTGCTTACTACTGTCCTTTTAATCTTAGGATTTTTCTGGATTGCAACGACAGAGGTAAGTGGATCAAATGTTATTGCTAATCCAAATATATCAATAATAATGCTACGGCTCTTTCTAGGCATTAGTGTGCAATTGTGAAGCACCTGTAGGTCGACGATGTCGGGTAAAATTATATTAAATTATTTAATACACAGGCTGTCCCAGAATTCTCGTTACGCTCTGAACTTCCTCTGTGAGAAAGGGGTGATGTCTAAGGTGATTTGAAGTCAGTTTTTCCCAAGCGACAATATTGGCCGTGACTTCTTTAGCGAGTTATTAACGAAACATACGAACAGCGGTTAAATTCGACTGTGACAGCGAGTGCGACGCAGTATTTATTGGCTGCGTAGTTGGTGTCTCGCGTCCGCGGTATACACACTGTGAGGCTGACGCTTATTGTTATAGAAAAGGTTTCTACAAATTATATCTGGCATCACCTCTTTGAGATGAAACGAGAGTTTTGGGACGTCTGTTTTATAATTTATGTGTTATTAATACTAATGTTAATATTTCTTTTTTTTTCAGCGCCAATGTCAAAATAACAATCAAACAATATCGTAGCATAGCGATGTGAATTAGACTGTGTATTTGGATTTGTTTAAGATATAGTAGGTATCATCTGAATCACACGTAAAAGTAAAGAATTCTAATAATGATGAATATTGATTTATCGACCCAAATTTCAGGCCTGAAATTATCACAGTTATTTTACATCGTCGTAGGTATGATAAACAGAAGCAATTAGAGGTACAGAGAAAATTTAGAAAAGGAAGATCTGAAAATTAGATACTATTAACTCGTAATTATTTTTCTTCTATAATGTAACGTCACTTTTCGAGGACTTCTGCAATTTAACGTCTTTACCGAGGACCGTACCGCCCGCCAGTACGCCACGTGCCTTCTAGATACAATTGAGAGAAGTTCCTCGAGGAGGATTAGGTTGTCATTTCCTTGTTCCTCTCATCTTGCTGATGTTCTCATTCACTCCCGTTTCCGTAAAGTAAGCATAACCAGTGCATTGACATTAGCATTTTAGCTCCCAACTTCGTGAACCTTACGAAAATATAAATACAGTTGAATAGGGACAAGAGAGCATTGTTGTAACGAACTTCACGACTGTTACTAATCTGTATTTTGTTTTACTAATAATGGAAGGTCCCCATGGTTGACGATCACTTTTAGATGAGATTTGGTACAGTGACAAAGCTTGTTAAGCTGAATCCAATGATACACAGTTTTAGAGACAGACGGCTTATTGCTTTCGATGTAATTAATGTTAAAGTTGTACCGGGCGTTAGGAAGTTAGGGGTGCCTCGCAGGCGCGATCAGATAGTCCGCCTTATTGCTACGTGCGAGGCATCCCCCACTTCCAGTCGCGCGATGTCTCACGGTTCCCAGGTAATATAGTGCTTTTATTAGTGCGATTAATGCTATCAGTCCTTTTATCAGTAACTTTAACATTAATTGTCTCAAATCCTATAAGCCGCTTGTCCTAAAACTGGACATCATTGGATTCAGCTTTACAAGCTTTATAACTGTACCAAATTTCATCGAAAAGTGACCGTCAACCCTAGGGACGTCCCCTTGTAAATTAACAGGAGCTTTAAATAAACCATGCAAAAGTATTACAGTTTCGTTTCCATAACACTGTTACATACAGGATGCACCATAATTATGTTAACCGTAGGAAAGGGGTGATTCCTGAGATCATTTAAAGTAACTTTTTCCTTAAAAATACAATTCATGGCTTTGTTTACGAGTTATTAACGACAAATAATAACCAATGAGACGCGAGTGCGCGAATAACAATGTAGTTGATCGATCGAGTGCAACAGGCTTCGACCGCGGATCGCGAGGGAAGGGGGGGCTCCGGGCCGCGTTCGAATCAATAATCAATCACGGAGCGTGAACCTTTCGAATCTTTTTTACTACGTGACAGTGATAATTTTATGAAAAACGCTGTTCATCCTTATCTCAGAATTTCTGAAGAATATTTACTAATTTTTCGGATCCGCAATAATAAGTACTTTCACCGTGATGGCTGTTTTAATTTTTTGATGTATATGATACCTCATGTGCACCGTATAAAATTTTTATGCCAGGTGTACAGTGAAGATTAACAATACATAACACCGTCCAAGTACGTAGATAACATTTTATTTTAAATAATTCCATGTCCGAATAGAATTCAACGAATGATTCGCAAAGCTAATTTAATGATAAATAATCGCGTTAAAGTACGTAAAGAAATTATTTGTTTGAGAAATATAAAAAATATTATTAATAAGAAACTCAGCAATTAGTTGTAAGTCCACTTCATGCTTGTAAATATGTGCAGGAGGATAGTATATCGATCTCGTACAATGTATGATGAACTGCAAATTAAAACGGCCGTCACGGTAAAACTAATTATTATTTCGGGTCTCAAAAATTAGTAAGTATGCTCCAGATCTTCTGAAATAAGGATATATAGCGTTTTTCTTAAAATTATCATTGTTATGTAGTAAAAAGAATTCGGAAGTTCATGCTCTGTGACTTGTTCATTGATTCCAACGCTACCTGAAGTCCCCCTCCTTTCGTCACGCTCCGCGGTCAAAGCATGCTGCACTCGGTCGTTCGACCATGGTGTTGTCGCGGGACCGTATCAAATATCAAAAAAAGACATATATTCCCTAGCTCTTCCTTTATCGTACACTTCAAAATCGCTGGTTCACGTGAATAACTACGTCGGTAGGAATGGAGTAAAAAAATAATATTTTTGCAAGGCTGGCGGATCTACAACCGTGGTCTAGGTCAATTGGTATGAATTGTTCTGGTGATTTTAGCAAGTGTTCGCGTTTAAGCAGGGGGGCTACAAAGCCCCCTTTTTTTATATGGGATGGCGTACAATTTAATGTGTGTCCATTCGTATCCTTCTAGTATTGGGATAACAACTGAATAGATAATCTCGTGGTTGATTATACAGATTTTAAGTTGAAAGATGTTTCGATCAATGTTTGAAAGTTGTGTGATTTAAGCGATATGTGTGTGTTTAATCAATGTGTTTTCAAAATTTTTTCGTAAGCGTCCATAAATTGCGTTGAATCAATAATTTTTTGTGGTATAATACCGTGTTTTCCTAAACTGATCGTTTCTTGCAAATTGTCAATGTTTTCTTTAATGTCTGTAATTATGATTTCAACTAATAAAAATAATCCCAGCGTTCTTTCAGCAGTGCGTGTATTACGGGTAAATTTTTCGTACTGTTGAATAAATTGTGAGAGTGTTTGACTGTTGAGAATGGACCTGAACATAGCGGTTTGGTTTTGTACGATTTTGGAAAGTTTAGTATTTTCATCGAACAATTTGTCAATGTTTCAGTTTATATATCAAGATTAGATCGTCTTCTTTGAGGGTTCCGAAAAGAGATTCAGAAGCTGAAAGCCTATTATGTTCACTATTCCTCGTCTGGTACGTTGGTATGAAATGGCACATAGGCGATTATATTCTACATTTAGTTTGTGTAATTTTTCTATGAGATATGCCGTATTAATATTGTTACAATTTCAGCAGGTGTCTTTGATTTCGTTTATAAGTTGACTTGCCTTGTCCAGATCGTTCTTAACGTCAGATGTGTTAATGATTATGTTACTTTTTATATCGTTATAATATACGTAGACCGTTTCTATTTTTTCATACACAATTTGCGAAGGGTTGAGGTTGGTGATTTTTAATCCGTGGCTTTTAACCTGGATGGTAAATGATAGGGTTTCAATCGGTTTCCGTGCGCTAAGAGCGTTTCGTTATTCTGGATTTGTATTAAATAATTAGGTTTCCCACTGCAATAATTTTGTAAGGACCTGGAATTCCGGAGATAACTTGTTTCGTTTATGGTCATTGTGTAGGAATACTAGGTCGTCGACATTATATAAGCTTTGGATTCTGGTTTTTCTATCTTGGTCTCTTTTATGCCGTTTTTCATTGGTTTCAGTATTAACCCCTTAACGCGCAGAAACGTATTAACACGGGCGTGCAA